TGGGACACGTCCACATACTCTTGTGCAATGGACAACTAGGAATGAAGCAAAGGTAGGTGGGTCGTGTTAAGAAGGACGGGGTATTTACCAGGAAGCCAGCATCAGCAGGACAGGCAAAAGTTGGTTTTGCATTGGATGTGGAGTGGATACCAGGGAGGCAAGTCAGGGACTGGGAGGAATTTCCGAGCTGAGTGTGCGGTTTCTTTTTTCACTCGCCTCCAGGGCCGGGTCCTCCCTGGGCCCAAAGCAGGCTGCAGCTGCTGCTGCTGCGAGGGGCAGACAGCTGGGCTGCTGACACAGCCGGAGCCCCTTGCGCAGCCTTGGGGGCGGGAGGCTTTGCAAGAGAGATGCTGGGCCCCTTGCAGCTGCTGGGACAGGCAGCATAGGCAAGGTGAAGCAGTCGGTTTCCCTCCGTGCACCTCTTTTGTGCTGTTGAAACAGTCATGAGTCAGTCTTCACATACAGTTGAGTTTGTCACGTTGGTACCTTTGACTCAGTAGCGGGGCGGCTGAGTGTAGTTTTGTCTTCTCGTGTTTCTGTTCACCTTTTCTCTGTACTGTACTCCCTCTGCATTGATCACCTGCAGTGATTGGAACCATTGCTGCGAAGGGGGATTATTTTTCACTTATCTCATCACTTAAACCTCACTTATCGTTCGTCCTATCCTCAGAACTGCAGACATTCAGTTATTAAACACAGGGAGAGCGTCCTTAAAATCTTAAAATCCAGTCACGAAGGTATTTTGAAGACTGAAGTTTGGACTACATCTAGCAAGGGGAAAGAGCTGTCACTCAGCACAGATCTGTTTATAAATACTGCTCTCCAGAAGACAACTGACAATTGTAATGGGGCTAATTCTTCTAGCAGCATTGGCATAACACCATCAGGGCTGTCTGGCACTGCTCAGGATATTTCTTCCATGAAAGAAAACTAATCCCAAGCAAGACAGTTTCAGTGTGAGTTATGTTCCTTGAAGTGCTATTACAGCAAGTAAAACAAGTGGCATCATTTCTCAGTGTTTTAAAATAAGCTACCCTGAAATCAATATGGATTTATTCCTTGTCTCTTCCCACAGTATCCAGAAGGATCTTTCCATTCCTCTTTCAGACAAAAATGTATCTTCATTTAATACGTATTATGTATTGCACCGGCTGTAAAACACAATGTACATTTGATTGACTGTCTTGAACAATCAATCCCTGCCCCCAAGCAATTCTTGCTGACTCAGTGGTGATGAATAGTGCCTCTTATGGATCTAGATCTAACTGTGATGCTAGACTGAACAGATTCTACTTTTCACTAAATGATGGTTTAACTTCCTTTTTCGTATGAAAGTGTGATTTCTAGTCATATCTTTTTTTTCATTCATGATCTGAGTAATGCCTGACTTTTTTGTTTAATGTACATGAAGTCTTGTCTTCTTTAGTTGTATAAGATGTTAAAAGGCTGCATATAGTGGCTTGGATTTTTCAGGACTTTATGGTTTGTAGTTTAAAAATCAGAAGATAAATTTGGTTGTAGCTGGAGCTGTATGAGAAGACGATGACCTTACTAGTGTTTTTCCTCAACACTTCAGCTGGAGGGGGCAGAGTGTAAATTCTGTTTATTTTCAGTGGCATCTCCATGGTTCTGAACCTCTTATCCAGACTCTTCACGGGCTGTAACCGGCTAATTAAAAAGCAGGGCTTAGGTCAGTTACTTGTGGTTTTAGTGTGGAATAAATGCATGTTTTGGAGTGACGTAATGAGGAATGGCTTTTAGGACAGCGGTTTCTTTGAGCAGAGACTTTGGGGCAACTTTGGTCCAGAAATGGAAGCTTCACAGAGAAATGGCTCTGGAGCGAAACAAAATGTTTTGAGCATCAAAGTGTCACAAGACTCTGGATTCTCCTGAAGGCTACTATTTCAAAGAGACTTATTCCCAAGAAACAGCTCAGCCAGCCCAACAGCAGCGCATTTAGCCTTGTTAGAGGAAACCTGGTGTCTGAACGGCAGGCACTCAGCTCGCTCACTTAAATAAGTAGTAGTATAACAGAGCAGGGAGTCCTTTCTTACTGCTTATTACTATTGCAATAATCTGATATGCAGTTACTTGCTAACAGAAATGTTAAAACTATTTCTGATTATCTGACTGACTTTTGCACTACTGACTGTAGTACTGTACCAAATAATTGCCCATCAGCCAATCCCAGAGTGTATCAGAAACGAGTCTGGATTCACTCAAGGTGGTTACCAAATCCAAATCCGAGGCTCGTGGGAGGGTTGCTCCCTGCAGGAAGAGATGCAGATACTATCACTAGCCCACAAACACTTCATTAGTATTAAACCTTGCACTACAGGCAGTGGGATTGGCTGCGTTTTGCTAAAAACAGATTATTATTTTGAAAAAGGGGATGGGAATTGATGGCAGGTTTTACAGCTGGCACATAGCTGAATTTTATAATCCTTCACATTGTCATAGTATTTCACTGAATCTTTGTGTCTAAGTGTAGACAAGTAGGTGATGAACAACAGCTGCTGCTAGCTGTGGGCTTAAGGTTTGAGAAGTGTGACATCAGAATTCAGAGCAACCTTTGCTATGTAACAGGCACTTAACTATCATTTTTAAGCTTCTACAGCCTATACCTTTTATGTCCAGATTTTTTTTGCTTTCAGACAGTAGCTAATCAAACCCCTTTTCATGCTGGATTTAGTGTCTCGGTGCCTATCTTCTACACTAAGTAAAACTGACGGTGTGGACAGCTCGTGTTTGTAGCAGTCTGAAGCACACTTACCTGGCATGCAGAGCGGGCAAGGAGGTGGTCGCTTACTGTCTGCATTCATTATCACTGTCTCAGATTGCTGAGAACCGTGAGGCATATTTAAAAATAGAAAGGTTCTACAGGCAGTTGTTTTTTGTCCAGCTCTCACTGGTGACTGAGCCTGGGTGAGCTGCTGTAACCTAAGATCGCTAAACGGAGTCCTGATGTGCCTTCTTTCATCAAGGCTGGGCCCCTTCAAGCAGATCTGCTCCAGAAGGGAAAGAAAACCTACTCCCATCTGAAAATTGGTTTGGCAGGTATCATATAGCAAACTTCCTTCCCACTTACTTTATTTGTGTTGTGACTGAGCGGTCCCTGGGGAAGTATTCAGTTATATCAGTACATGGCAGTGCTCCCCAGCACCACAGCAGATGTCTGCATGTGCATTAAAGATGAGAGAGGATGATCTCCGGCTCTGAAATATAAGGCCACACAGGGGACAGAAGTACGGCAAAAACAAATGGCCAGAGATCAAGACTTGCGGAAGAGTGAGCACAGTGGTGCCTGTAAACAGCTGTCGTTGAAGAGGTGAGCAGATTCCTCCTGAATAAGTGACTTTTTTTTAATATACTGAACCTGAAACAAGTTTGGGGAGTCTTCTCTGAGAAGAGTCTATTTTAGACAAAGTGAATGATTCTGTATTTTCTTCCTGTCTATTCAAAACATTTTGCAAATGAGAACACAAATTATTTTGACTAATTAAAGCGTTTACAAGTAAATGTAGTTAGAGCTCACTCCTAATCTGGAAGCAGTTAGATTTCTTAAAGAATTCAAGTACAGCTTGAAGGTCTAAGGCAGCACTGCAGTCAAATCTTGTAGGGAGACCCGAGAGCTGCTGTGTCTTCCTCTGCTGGCACCCAGGTACAGAAGCACAGAAGGCAGAAGAAAGGTAGCAAGAGGTCTCATCTCTGCTTAGAAAACTGATCCAAGCTGTTTCATGACGAGTCTGCCCTAATGATTTTCTGTCATGGCATATCAGGTGGCTTTGAGCACTAAGATTCAAATGTGCCCAGCAGGAGTGTTGACTTGCCTTATGTGAAACAAACTAGCTGGTGTTCTTGAGACTAAAGCCCTGTGGGATGGAGCAGGGCTCTGCTGGAGTGACTGTTATTTAACAGCTTCCATTTCAATTAATATTGTGAAATAACGCTAATCCATGCAAGTGTTATTGGTGGATTATATTTCCCTGTGCTTGCAGGGGTAGGGAAGTATATCAGAAGTGACTGGAGGACAAAACCGCACTGAAATCAGTCATCTGGATACGGTTTAAGAGTGTTTGAAGCTCAACTGCATACACTAGGGACTGTTGCTGGCAAAAACATACAGCCCTTCAAATTCAATTTTCTTTGAGCAGTTTGCCTTCAATCTGACCTTTTTAACAGATGCAGTACAGAATCAATAGGTTCTGAATTGATGCTTCTCTTTGCTGTCACCAAGCAAAATCTCAGTTACTAAAAAATCTATAAGAAACACACAGGTATTATTCAAAATTTTAATGCAAGTTTCTTTTAATTTTGAATTAATCAAATTTTTATTATTTAGTAAGAGGTATTTACAATACTCTGCAGAAGCAGTGCAAAGCCACAGCGTCTTGAGCTTATCCAGGGCTATGATTTTCAATAAGAGTACAAATTCAGTGCAGAGGTAGCTTGGGCTATAATTACTCCTACCCAACCCCTCCTTCTGGTCTGAGCTACAGGCGCCTGTGTGTTTCAGCTGCTCCTCACATGTAGCTGTCCCAGGAGCCTGGTGCAGAGGAGCTGAGCTTCCTCACAGCCAGGAAGCTGCTTAACAGCCCAGGCTGGAAGAGAAAGGCAGCCAGCAGTAGCCAGCTGGCTAGTTTAAAGGTACTGTAGATCATCGATGCCGATTAACCGATGCACTCATGCAAGTTAGGTCTTGCTAGGCTGTTCCCCATTCTTTATGTGGGGAACCTCACACCGACAACAACTCAAGTTTTACTGCTGCTGTGAAAAAAAGCCTTTCATAACAATTAAACTGTTACTTTATTAGTTGTAAGGTCTATTTTTCAATTTCAAAGCAAGTCAGGAATACTACAGAACAGATTTTAGAAGTCTGTGCTTGGGGGAGAAGATAACCAAGTAATCTTCATGCTACTTTCTTAGCCTAGCTGAACAAAAGAAACCAACCCAGAATCAGTAGGTCCCCACAGCAGTATCTCGCTGAGATATACTGCAGTTTTCTTGCTGTCCTCTCTCACATCTCGTCAAGAATAAGATCTAATTACATGGATTACTGTAGACTTAGTAAGGCCTGTACATGTGCTAAGCTATAAGCAATTACCCTGCTGTTTGCTAGGGGAGTTATTCTCCTTTCTTTCTCCAAAGTTGCTCTTTCTCTACTTTCCCAACAAATTGCAGAATATCTTCAGCAAGAAGTTCAGGTTCCTCCAAAGCTGCAAAGTGGCCACCTCGAGGCATGAAATGGAAGGAAACTATGTTGGTGTATTTCTTCTGGGCCCAAGCCTGGGGTGTGTGCATGACTTCATTAGGGAAGGAGGCAATGCCAGTAGGTACTTGTACAGTGAGCCTGAGAGAGGAGAGAGAATAATTTTAACTTGGCAAGAAATGGAAAGTCCCAAGGAAATGTTGTTCTTAAACAGTTGGGCACACTGTTGTTAGGCAATTAAAATTTGACTTCCAGATCTTAAATTTGAAGACTAGACAACACTCCCATTCCTGGAAAAAAAACATAAAATAAAATTTTTGCATACATTAATATTAAGGCAATTTTGCAAGGGATCCAGGGCATAAGAGTTGGAAGCATGGAAATTGAGAAGAGATCCCTAGGAGGTGGTGGGTATCGAGTTTCCTCATGCTGCATTCAGGGCTCGAGTCATGTATTGAGGGGAAAGCACGCAATTTGACAAGGGCTGGAGAGAGATTTACAGTGAAGATTACAACTAGAACATGTTAAGCCTGGCAGGACAACTGGAGGGTAGATAGGGGAAGAATTATCTTGAACTGCTGCAAAGGGGGAGGAGAGGGAGGGAATAATAGAGAGTAAATCTAGACTAGTTCAGAGGAAACATTTCTGAACGTGAGACTTTACCCTGTAAAGCTCTTGCTTTTAACTGGCACAGATGAACTCTACAGAACGCTTTGCACATTAGCAAGCGTTAGGGAAGCAACTGGATTTGAGGGGAAGACTACGTTACAAAGTGGAATGAACCACGCTTTTTATAAACAGAGCAACATTTTCTAGGTTTAAATATCCCGTACACATAAGCTGCATTGTTAGAAGTGACAGACTTTAGAATTCAGATACAAAAATTGTTGGGCACATAACCACTGGAAGCCTGAAAACAGGGTGCCTAATTTTATGTACATCTTTGAGACTCCTTCCTCTAGGCACATAGAAGCTCGTATAGCTCATCTCATGTAAGCAGAACAGTAGCAGGATAGCCCACAATGTAGCCACAACAGCTTCAAGAACTGAGTCAGCTTCCTGGGAGCATCATTTCACAGGTAAATAAATACCACAGCAGTGAGCTGTGGTTGCAGATACCTCAGGGTAGGTTTAAGCCTTCACTAATACTCAATCTGCCAGAAGTATATGCAACCAAGCTGCTGTCTTAAGTGTCTGCACTGCAGGAACATCAGTCTTAATGACTTTCAAATTATGCAGTTTGTCAGTATACTTAAGTTGCTTCCAAAGATAGGACTTAAATCTTTTGTAGAAATAGGGAAACTGTGTCCAGAAAAGTACCAGAACTAAAAACAAACTATAAACAAAACTGACTGCATGACTCAGTCACAGGCTAATTTAATAACTAAAGTCAAGTCAGATCTCTTTACTGATGCTTCAGGATTCTTACCCAATTACCATGTTTTCCAAGCACAACACAGTACATCAACTAATAGACCTGTCTTGTGGAGGAATGTTGTGATACAGCATTGCTTTTTCTCAACATTCAGAAACTTGCAGCAGCTATAAGACATAAACAACCTGTCTGCAACCACAAAATTAAGTTCAGGGCAAAATATTTAAAGAAAAACCCCCACTTACCTTTCATGTTTCTGTGTGCCTATCCCCTTCTGTAAGTTTTCTTTGTAGAAACGCATTGAGGAGACTATACAGCCTGACACCCAGTAGATCATGATATTGGTGAGCAGATCATCCAGGTTAAACTTCCTGAATAGGTAAGCCCAGAGATTGCTTAGTTAGAACTGATTCTAGAATACTATTTTGCATTACTTTAGCAGGGACTTGACTGGTTTGGTTGTAAGAAAAAAAGTTATAGGAAAAAATAGTTAAGTTGGTTAAGAGTTGAGAGGTGAAGTGTGTTACTCCCCCTCTGTCAGTGACCAATTAAGCATGTTAAAGGCTTTCAGACACTAACTGGGAAGTGACATTTTAACTTCTACAGGGAAGACAGACTCCAACAAGCACCTTATGCTCCAGCACAGCTGTCTATACTGTCCATAGACTGAGAGGGTAGAAGCAGAAGAGCACATGGAACAGCTTGTGCCATTTATTTATTCATAATTTGAAATGCTACCGTGAGCCTTCAGTAGAGCCATCACACCAACCACATGTGCTGTAAACAGTGCATGATTCCTATCAAATTATTAGCTGTATGCAGTGCAAACATTCTATTCAAATCCATTGCCACTGGACCTTTTCATAACATGCCCCTTTGCTCCATTCCTGCCAGGATCTCAGCAATTTTCAAAGGAGACTTCATCTCAGATTTCTGCTGCACACTAAGAATGATCCTTTATTAGCAAATGGTAGGTAGATGAAGCAATACTGATCAATTTAAAGCAAATTCATAGAGTTAAGTATTAGTATTAAAATGAATCATGAGTTCTGTTTCCCAGCATTTTAATGTAGGTTAAACTTTTGTTTTTCTGTCCTAATGAGATTTTTCCACATAAGTCAGTTTTTAATCCCCAGAAGTTGCAGGGTGTCTCTCTTTCCTAGGAGATCAAAGTGGGAAGGGAGTACATCAGCCTTCAAGCCTATTTACTTCTTTGCATGCTGTAGTACAGCACTGTACCATTTGTGGTCACTACAGGCTCCCTACGAGATGTGAGGTGATGAGTTCAGACAAACTTCTTTAGCTATGACTCAGAGTTTAGTCACCTCATCCAAAATGGCGTAAGAGGAAATGCTTACCTCTCTAGTCCTCCATCCTCTAAATTACGGAATTCCAGATCAGTCCATGTAGAAAACTTCTCCAAGATGTATGCAGCCAGTCCTACAGGAGAGTCATTCAAACCACAGCCTGAAAAGGAGGAGGAAAATTTAAGTAAAATTGCAATATCTGACTACTGGACTCAGACGGTTATAGAAGCAGCCCATTATAATACAGGGTAGATAACTTAACAAAGCTGTTCCAGCAGCTCTGTTCTTAAATAAATAAAATAGTAGAACAAGTTGGAGCCATTTATTGTTGAATCATAAACCGATAGTATCTGCAAACCAACAGGCTCCACATTAGCTCACACTGTATGTTTTTTGAAATGATGTAACAGTATTGGATTTCTGCTGGCTTTTTTTTTCTTGTAAGATAATAAGATTAAGCTCTATGTGCCAAGTAGGGTTTGCTTCCATTAATCTGGAAGTTGTCATGTATTAAACAGCATTATGGGGCCAAACCCCACATGCCTACACATGACCAGGAGAATTTGCACCGTTATCTAACAGCAAAAACATTTAAATTATTATTAGAAAGTCACTAAGTAAGAGCAAGGCTTTGCTAAAAGGTCCATCTTCTGAATTAGCAATAGCCAACTGCCTTCATGTAGAACAAGGTTTAGTATACTTTTTATAGTTTGTTTTGCTTGGACAGAAAAAACACACCTGCACCTGGAACTTTGCTAATACATCCTAGTGCTGTGAAATACAGGGACCATAAACTGTTCCAGTTGCTCAGAAAAACCTTAGAAAAAGCTTTTCCTGAGGAACAGCAATGTATTTGAAGTTCCACCCGTGCAACCCAACCTTTCTGAAAGATGCCTAACACTACAGCTAGCACAATTTCATCAGTAATTGCTATTTAAACATGATAGTTGAGTTTCAGTTATCAAATAACTAACATTGATAATTTAATACCAAGTGTTTGAAAAAGTTATATTGAGCATGCTTTCCAGATCTGGAGAACTAGACAAGCAATAGCTTGTTCTCATGTACTTACTGTGAACAAAGAGTACATCAGTTTACATATAGGAAAAATTGACGTCAATCCCAAGTACTTTGAATACAGGCGCTGCCTATTTCAGTCAGTTGAAAATGAACCCATACTCCATGCAGGTTTCCCAAAGAATAAGTGTAAAATCAAATCCATGCAAGCCACTTTGATCAAAAGCCAGCTCTGAAGTAATCAAGAGTATAGTATTAGCAAGCACAGTATATACCAAGAGCCAGAGACAACCTCCTTGCTTAGGACAGCTTGCAAGGTAGCCCTGTACCACCAGAAGTCTCAGGAAGACTGTGGTAGCTTCCATGGCTGTGCTGCTTCCAGCTACCTTCTGCTCCCTTCTTCAGAGTGTCTTTCTCCCTATGGGAACCTGCCACCTGCCATGCTCCTCTCTTCTTTGTCCTCAAAATTGCAAAAAAACTCCCAAAACATGAACTTGCTGCTCGTTCCCAGTCTGCGCAGTCTGCTCTGACAGACCACACATTACTGGTAGGGACAAGAACCAGCCAGAAAACCACAGCAGAAGGAGCATGACTAGGCTCCTTTCAGCTACCACCTTCCCCACCTTTTCTTAAAGCACAAAAGGAATTACAGACTAGTAATTTTTAGAAATCAAAACTCAAAGGAAGCAAAACTATTTAAAATCCATAAAATTATCATTTTGCCTACACATTTTAGTGCTTCTATAGGTAAGTTTATGGAAAACCATCATGAAATAGTTTCCTTAGCTATGTTTTTAATAAAATCCATGAGTGAATTGCTGCCGTACTAAACTAAAATATATTCAGTATTCTTGACTCAGTTGTCCAATTCAGTTGCAAAAGATGTTTTTAAAATAGAAACCCTTAATACTCAGATACTTAAAGTAGTGAAGCAACCTGAGTGACTAGCTCATCTAGAAAGAACATTCATAGGTATGCTTTCTTTTTTCCTTGGAAGTCTGCAAGTGATTCAGAACAAAGAGTGAGAACTAAATTTGATTTTACTTTTCAGGTATTAGTTATCCCTATAAATAAGCTACATTGCGTGCTGAGACAGCTAAAAGCTTCTTGTAGTTTACATCATTTGAATGTGATCCATTCTCTGTGAAGAAACTATCTTTTGCTCTCAGCATAGCTGCATTTGAAATAGAATTACAGTCCCCAGTGATAGCAGAAGTGGAAAAGTATTAAATAAACTATTTTATTTATGAAAACTGAAAATTAGGTCAGTGGCACTTTAAAGCATGTGCAATTTTGATGTCCAGATTTACCACTTCTGCATGCAGGAGTGTAGTACTATATACCCATATGTAACCTTTCCTGAGTTGGATACAGAAAAGGAGCCCACCTTTTAAAACCTCTAATCTTCCTACTTCAATTTCCCTGAAAAGAACTGATTTTCTGCATATTTTAAGCAGTAAGTTTTGTTTCTATGAAAGTACAACTAAAACGAACAGGCTAAGTATTCTGAGCTCAAAAGGTTTTTTTGTTTGTTTTACCGACAGTATCAGGCTTTGTAGCCTGTATGTGAGCGTAGCCCGACTCCAACAAGATCCTGTAGAGCCCTTTTTTCCAGAAGGGAAACATGCGCCTAACATCTTCATCCTGGAAACCGAAGAGCCCTGGAAGATAGCGGCCCAGCAGAATGGAGAGCAGGTGAGTGAATCCCATGTTTGTAACTGAGGCTAGATTTAAATGGAGACCTTTCATATGGCTAAAAATAAAAACAGAAAAAGCCCCCACAAATTAACAAAAATGAAATGTGATTCAAAGTTGTTGTATTTAAAATGTTATTAACAAAAATGGACGTACTTAAATTCTGACCTGCTAATTACATCATGACCTTAGCTGTACTTTGTAGTGTGGCTTTTCACACAAAAATGACAAGTCAAAGGGGTAACGGTCAGTAATCAGCACACACTCTTGGGACACTAAGCCACAAATCCTCCTTTTGTTATGAGTACTTATCCCACCCCAGACCCCAGTGGGGCCATTACAAGCTACTGCACAACTGTTTGAAAGAACAGGTATATAGTATAAACTACAGTAATAGTAATTCTGGATCACTGCTTAACACTGAGCACTGTAGAGATAAACTACACAGTACTCATATGAGGACTTGGACAGGAACTCTCAAGTGCACAAGAAATAACTATTTAAAGAATAAAACAGCTTTACATGCCAATCATGCAGCACTGTACCAAAGGGGTACTCACTTGGGAGCTATCTGGGCCAGATTGGTGCAGATGAGCCAGCCCCAGTCACCACCTTGTGCGTAGAATTCGTTGAATCCCAGTCTGAGCATCAATTCATAAAAAACAGAAGCGGCACTTACAGAATTAAAGTCTACATTAAAAAAAAAGAACACCGTTGCATTAATTCCAGCTACACTTGACTGTGCAGCATTTATTCTCCCCATAAAGGCAACGTTCAAGTTCCTAAAAAGTGACAAGTCCGTTTTTCCTTGCCTGTCTGACACATTATATGGAAACCCTTGTCACATTATCCAGGGAAGGTCTAAAGAGCAAGCAGAAACCATAAGGAGAAAATCCAGCCTTCGTTGCAGACTAGTGTTCTCCTAACCACACCAGCTGCCCACACACTTGCCCAACACTTGCCCAGACTCCCTTTAAACTGTAGTCATGCTCCAGCTGAGCTCTATCAGAGGCACTAAGCATTGCATAGGCAGTGTTTCCATTTTGTCTACTGTGAACACAATCTCATCTTAATGATAGTTGGAAACTTTAAGTTTCCACTAGTAATGCGCTTCTCCGCTTCGCTAAATGCTGACCACATAAATCACAACCAGGGAAGTAAAGAAAAGCAAAACCAACCTTCCCCACATCATTCACCTGCACACATAATTAAATACTAAACTCAGTATCACTTTAAATACTACTTCGCTCCAATTTGTTGCAGCTTGTGTTTGTATAATTCAGAGCACAAGCTGAACAAGCAGGTATTTGGCCACAATCTACTATGTAGATACATGAATTGATTTGTTTCAACTGTTGCTTCTCACCTACCTGTATAATGCTGTTGAATATGGATTCAAAATACCCAAACGGAACAAATTAAGTTTACTCTTCCTGCTCACCCACACACAATTCATTGACTCAATTACAATTCATGAGTTGTCACTTCATAACTTTTTATAGTCCTTTGTAAATTATCTACACATTGCTCCTGAAACTAATCAATGGTGTCACCTGAAGTCACACTCTTATCTCCCTCTTCCCTTCTTTTTTTCTACACTGGGAGAACAAGAGCAGACAGGAGTTACTGTTCTGCTAACGGGGGCTATCTCACTACAAGACTAGGCTTGTGTTAGTTCAGTTTCTTCTCATACATCATACCTTTTTTGTGGGGTGCTTCTGAGAAACCATAACCAGGGATAGATGGGCAAATGACTTCAAAAATGTGTTCATCACTGAGGCCGTGGCTGGCAGGATCCGTCAGGAGAGGGATGATTTTGTAAAACTCGTAAAATGAGCCAGGCCAACCATGAACCATTAATAATGGCTTTGCAGACTGGCCTTCAGGCAAATGAGGAGGCTTTACGTGAACAAAATGGATATCAATGCCTGTAAAAATAAAATAATTAACATGCCCAAATTTACCATGATACTGAAACTAATCACAGAACAGATTATGAATAAATCTTTTCTGAAGTCTTTTTTTGGTGAGCATGCAAACACACTGCACTTCTCTGGATGCATTTATCCAAGGACCTTAAAGTGTGTGTGTGTATATATATAGTATATATATATATATTATAGTGGGCAATTAAGCAGCACAGCAGCCAAATGAGGTCGGCATATTTCTGTTTTAAAATAAATTAGCAAATTAAGACATACAAATGAAGCAATCTACTAACGGTAACACAGTGACTCACACAGATTAAAGGCAGAAGAGACGATTACATCATTTAGTCCAAGTGCCCTTAATTTTTACCCAAATGTCTCTATATGGCACTAGATAGGCTTCAGCCAACCACAGATTTTTCTTCCTGGAAGGCATACAATTGCAACTTGAAGGCATCAAGAGATAGGGAATCCATCATAACTAGCAGATATTTGTTTGGGGGTGTTAATCACTTTCCTTGTTTTGTGCATGTCTTACTTTCCATTTGAACGGCTGGCTTCTGTCTCCAGCCATTGATCCTAATGTTACAGCAAAAGGAATTTAAAAAGCCTTCAGTTAAGTATTCTCTGTCTGTGGATGCCGCCTGTAATCAAGTCACAGATCTTAACTGCTGATAAACCAATCATGCTGAATCAAGGATTTGAAAACATGCCTTACTAAAACAGATTTAAAGTGTTCAATTTTGTAGTTCTTTTCTACCTTTTGTCCAAAGCTTTCAGTATCTCATTGAGTAAACCAAAACAGGAAATGATGTTCTAGTACCAGTCTCCTCATTGTTAAGTAAAAAGGTAAAAATTGCAGTCCTATTTCCTTTGTGATCCTTAAAACATGTAAGCAGTAGGCCTCACAGAGCACTGCACTAGTTGCTCCAGGTGAACTGCTTTTCCTCAAACCCATTCAGGGCTTTGCTTTCCAGGAAACAATAATTTGCCCTTAGTAGAGCCTGAATGCCTCACTTCTTGATGTATTTAAGCACATTCTGCTCACATCAGCTCCAGCTTACCAGTAATCCCACCCTGTTTCACTGACTGAGATTTTCCCATCCTTGACAATTCTGTGGATTTCTGTATTCTCTGAAAAAACTTTCAAGTGATGACAGAAGCTAGGAATCTGATATACGGTATGTTTGATCTTGTCTTTTCATGGCTCATCATTCCTAATGTTGAAATTTCTCTTTCTATTGCTATACATAGTGCATTGTCCTTAGCTTCTTTTCCCTTTCTTATCTCAGATGATACATCTTTTTTCTTCTTTTTTAAGGGAAGGCTTTTTGCTTTTATCTTTTTCAGCACTAACAATGTTTTATACACTTAAAAAAAATCTTTATGTTCTAACCACTATGTAAAACCCATTTATTGTCCCAAATCCATTTTAAATATTATGGTGAACTGCCACATTTGAAATAATGTACAATTATGGGTGCAAGTAAAAACATAATAGCATAATCTCAAGCTTGAATTTTGCCATCATGGGAGACAATGGCCTGCTGTGCTCCAGATCTACAACTGTACCCCCAAAATTCAAGCATTTAAAACGTCCAGTTTGACCAAGCTCCAGCACCACCAGACCTTAGCTGAATGGCCTCTTTCAAAAGGTGTCTGTGCTTTGAATGAAAAGACAAACCATTCACTCACACCTGGCAGCACATCAACCCCAGGGGAAAGGCATTCTGCATTTCTCAACCTGTGAATGCTTGAAATGGTGCAGCAGAGCACATCTGCCCTGCCAAGCAAGGACAACCTGAGCAGCCAGCACGCCCAGCTGAGGAGGGCTGCCAGACTGATGGCATCACTGTGACAGCAGCAGCTGGGGAACTACATGGAGCAAGAGGAGGCATCTGTGCATATTTCTGCATGGTTGCATGCAAGTCAGGGAACATGTGTACATCTTAAGATCCAGTTCTGCTTCCAAATGCCTGTGCTTGGCTCCTGTTAACACCAGCTGACAACCCATCCATGCACAAGGGAATTCCATTTGTCGTTCCTTGTCCTAAAGGCTTCAATTATGAAGGAGTTTCTCGTTGCTTCAGCAGTAATGCCAATGATCCACACCATGGCAGCCAGGGAGGGAAGGCCCATGCAACACAATCAGAGCATTCTTACCACCGAGATCCCTTGTAGACAAGATTATATATTACTGTTTATTTTTTAAGGGAAAAAGCCACACACCTTGAATCTTAGTTTTGAATTGTGGGTACTTGTTGAGGAGTTCAACTTGCTTCTTCCAATTGAACTGGTTTTTCCAGTAGGAGATAACCTTCCTGAGATACATCGAGTTAGTCCCATAATGGAAGCAACTGTTCTCCAGTGGCTCAGTGAATCGAGCCTGGTCAAGCCTCCTAAATAAGTCCTACAGGGAAAAAGAAAGAAGAGACGTTACAAACACTTCTGTCTGCCATCTTGGGCTCTACTGTGCATGGTTTCTAGTCATTCCCAAGTGAAATGAGAACAATGAAAATAACATCTCTAATGACACCTGTGCATTTTGCTGATGCTCCATCAGCTGTTCCAATTCTTTCTCTTCTCCAGATGGCTTCCTTCCTCTTCCCTTTACAGCTGTTCTTAACACTCTCTCTGTCTTTGCTTTGCAGGGCTGGCTAACCTGATAACCACAGAGGAGAACACACTCTTCTGACAGCACTGTGGCTTCACAGCGTAAGTCTTGTTGCCTTTCCATGGTACTTTGCTCCCCAGGTTACCTGCAAGCCCAACCTCACAATCAATGCATGGATCTGGCCCAAACCTTTTGCTCTCCTTCCCAAAGCAAGGGGCTGGGCGTCTTCACTGGGAAACAGTGAGGGATTTTGCATGGCCACAAAGTTGATGGAGTGAAAGTTTCCCAATCTAGAATAACTATTCAAGTGACCTTCCTACTGCACTTCAAGGTTACAGGGGATGCTGACAATACCGCAAAATCAGTCCAAAATCACTCAGGAGGGAAGGACAGCGAAGAGCCCCTTCCTACTGCAAACAGAACCACAGAATAGTTGAGAGTGGAAGGCAGGTCTAGAAATCTAATCCTGCTCAAACCTCTGTGGGGTTTAAACCTGAACAGCATTTTCTAATACAACAATAGAGGTAGCTCTCATTCTGACTAAGATGCACTGGCTCATGCCTCACACTGAGCAGGCAGTCTCAGTCTAGGCAAGATGTTAGTATGTAAGGTCACTGGTTTTGGCATTTAACACATGTAAGAAAGCACGGATTTTTAAATTAAGTTTTTAACATGTCTTTACATACATGCTTTTGTCTATGCTTAATACTTTTTTAAAAATGTTTTAGTAATGTGTGCTAGCATAACTTTAACTCCTCGTTTATGTAAGAATATATTTAGAAACAGAGTTTTCTACTAATGGATTATGTTGCAATAGCTGTCATAATACAGAATTGCATGTTTCAAAAACATCCATAAGTTAGAAATTATCTAGCTTTGTGTCTGCAGCATAAGAGGAAAACATATTGGAGATCAATGTCCAATGATCAATGTCCTCCTCCACTAAGAAGGGCAAACAAAGTGTTAAAAAAAAACAGGCCTTACTGAGTAAAATAGGACTCCATTATAAATGAATAATATGAGCAATCCCATGAGTACTATTTGAACCACTACTAGACACAGATCTATGAAACTGTGCAATCCCTGACTTAAACACACACAATCAAAATCTTGCTATGTAACAAATTCTGCAACATATGTGTTTACTGTAATTATCACTGTGGTATTAGTGTTGACCAAAGTAGATCATTAATTACAGAAGAATCAGCATCCAACACAGCTGCAAACAAAGCAGTCAAGAAAATGAGATAGTTGTAATTGCTTTTGAAAGAAAAAAAAAAAAGACATTCTTATTCTGGTCTACACAATCAAACTGAGGAAGGTGCACAAACAGGAACACAGAGTTGTAACATGATTTTTATGTTTATTAGGCTTTACAAAGGAGGTTTATTTACTAGCAATCTTGCAACAGCCAGCTGAGAACAAAATTGTGTAGCAGGACGTGAAATCTGCCTATCTTCTGAAGTACCGAAAAATCCCTTCCCCCAAGTCCTGGACATCATTGCTCATTCTCATGAATGTAACTATTGGTTCAATTTAAACATTATTTCCAAACAAGTTCTGCATTTATTTGGCCATTTCTTACTTCTCTCTCCCCAGTATAGAGATTTGCTTACGCTCAGCTCTTCTTCTGTAGTTTCCACCTTAAATGGCCAAACAGTAGTATCTTCTTCAGTGTCAGGCTTTTGTCCCTTACCCCACCATCCCTCTTTGAAGGGTAATGTCTCTTCTTTCTTCTTGGAAAGTAAGAAGTAGACGATGACTGTCCCCAGAACCAGGAATACTTCGAGCAGCATAATGCCTGCAAGAGAAGAACAGAGCTCTGGTAAGCCTAATCAGATAGTTCAGAGACATGCGACATACTTTGTAAAGATGGTAGAGGTTTACTCGCTTTTAAAGACAGGATTCGATCTACATGTTCTGTCACTCACAGGACATCAACACTTCTGTAAGATTTCAGAAATAGGATGTTATAACCTACGCAACTTAAATGGGGAGGAATTAAGTGTTTTACTTAAAAGACATTCAGTAAAAACAGAACTCAAAGCAAGTCAAGAGATCACATGGCTTGGTAATTAAATAGTCCTCTGATTAAACACACCACGTTGGCTTCCTCAGTGGCTGCTGATTGCCGCTAAACTTCAACAGTAAAGGAGGTGACTGTGGATATAATTCAAGTTTAATGCTTTCTCTTCCTCTGAAGCTCTATATTTCCCACAAATTCCAAAGCAGAACATCTCTTCAGTAAGGCTCACATACCTATTGTTACAGATTTGGAGGAAAAAAACCCAAGACATATATAGAGAATAAGAAGTGAAGAGCAAGAGGGCAGCCACCTTGTACCTCTCAATCTGCCTGGGGAAGTGGAGCAGGGATATATTTACATAACCCTTGAACAGCAGTGCAAAGGGTAGAAGGACCTTCCCTTTCTTTCTCCCTCTGAACTGTTTTAAAGAGAAAACAAAAGACCACGTGCATGCTCTCCTGGCTCTAACGCACACTTCCCCAAGTGATAAAATTCTGTCAAAGTAAAGAGCAACCTGATTTCACAGCATATCTGCACAACCCAACTGCAGGGCTGTTGTGCTTTAGTCAAACAGAACACCTTAACAAAAAAAAAAATATCCCATTTTGAATATATTTGAACTGTTTCATGTTGCAAGTAGAAAAAATAGTTATTCAGACTCTTTAATAATTAATGTTTTCAAGCATGCCTTTAAGTATGAGAAATGTTTCAGGGTGGTTTGGGGAACAATAGTGTCATCATTTTAATGCATAATTTTAAAAAACATCATGTTTCAAACACTCATTTGCTGGGGAATTGATAAGTCATGAAGTATTTCAAAACTTCTGTAGGGCAAGCATTGTTTATGACACAGAACAGTCTTCATTCTCTCCAGAGCTGGAAGGTCTTGTTGTTTTTGCTGCTGCACAGTAATTCGATGCTCTGAAATTGCTCAGAGTCAACACAAAGAACCAAAATCTATTATTGGATCAAAACAGGAATTGTAACACAAGTTAATGGGAGTTCACATGATTATAACAGGAATAAAATTGACCTGTCTTGTAAGTACCTTTATGTGACAGGACACATCTTAGTCAACCTCTTGAGTTTAATTTTCTAATGGCTGACAATAAATAAATAAATCTGTCAAAATAAGCACCCACTGAAACATTTGTAGAGAAGTCAGGCACTATGCAGATAGGACGGCAAGCTACAAAAATACACTGCTTGCATATGCAACTGCTACAGCTTTGAAAAGTGACCTGAAATTCCTTAATCCTCAGAGGCTGAAGAAATGGAAACGATAGGCACTGAAACAACTTGATCTGTTTATTCGTTTCACTTGTCCTTCCGTAATTTCTGTTGTTTGAGAAGGTGCTAGTTTTTCTTCACCATGTTCTCTGGAGCACAAGACAACAATCTTTTCCCACCTCCAGCATACTCAGGCCATAACTTACCCCAAAATTAAAAAGTTTGTCCAATTTCAGCTTGCCTCAACACATAAACCCAATGCAGTCCAGGAGCCTCCAGAGCACAATTAAATTTTACTGCGAAGCAAAACTGGAGGTGCTTTTAGAAACCTCAAAGCACTTTACATAGAAATAATACCTACCACAGTATTTAACAGCATTTCTATTACTAAGTCTTCACAGAGAAGAACAACAACTTCCCGGAAATCACAGCACAACTCAGGCCACGTCTAGACTACAAAGGTTCACCAGCATAACTATGTAAACACCACATACGAAAAATTCAAACGCTTGGCCAACTTCAATGTGTTTACAAAGCCCCATGACAAACAGCCGTGCCAAGAGAAAAGAGAGCTGCTGTCAGTGCCAGCCCCGTTGTTCAGGCAGGATGGCTGGGGTACCTAGAAAAACAGAGGACTCTTTCTCCTGGCTTATGTTGTATCAGCACCATGGCCTCTGCCAACACAGTGACAGAGGCACAGCACCTAACACAGAACTGCTTTACCCAGGAACAGAATCCCAGCCCATTCTCTAGCAAGAAACTTGTATGTCCTAAGTCACTGGAGTACTCAGAGCTACGAAAATATTTGTGCTTCCCCCATCTGCTCGCAAAGAGACTTGAGAAATCAGAATTTTTGCAGCAGAAGACATGGGAGGGATTGTGTGCAAATGTGGATTTTGCATTTGCCCTGGAGTGTGTGTACAAAGAACTTGCTATGTGAAAAGATACCCATTTTTGCAATTAATTCCAAACAGACTTTAAGATGAGCTTGTTTACAATCCAGCGATAAGTGCCAAAATCAATTTCAGGTTTCACAAAAGTTCTGTCTTCTATTGCAGAGAATTAGGGCCAGTGACAAATTGATTTGCATGAGATATCATTTTGACTTGGAAGCAGCCGCCTCTGATACCGTTGGATTGTGTTTTGGATTATGTTTTGCTAACAGAGAGAGATCCCAAGTTGCTCTCTATATTCAATCTCTCTCAGTTCCCTTGAAACTGCCTGTAAAATTCCTAATTACAACGAACACTGAGGCCTAGAGCTCCAAGTATGATACATTTTTTTTCTGAGTGCACAGGAGGAAGAGAAAGGGCAAAGTGCGTCAGCAATATTTTGACTTGCACCAGTTCATAGCACACTCAAAGGGATTGTTTTGCTAGTGATGAGTTACTGGAACGCAGCATGCTCCTACCAACCTCTCCAGCTTGTGCTGAGAGGAGACCACTTAGAGCAAACGCACTCAATGATTTCCCAAGTTTGCTATTCAAGCTAGTTCTCTAAAACTCCTGTGTGTTGTTTGAACAGCATAAAGCAGCCTCAGTCGTGACGCATCTGCACCAGAATTTCCTCCGCTAATAACTATTGAGCGGTTGTGAGATCGAAGTTATTAGCCCCTTACACCTCTTCCATAACACAGCAATACAGCACCACGAAAGCAGAAGGAGAAACACAATAAAACTCTTCTAAACTTGCAGTTTTCAGAGATGTAAACAACAAAGCGCTGGTGTTTTTATTTTCTGAAGTCTCTTGATGCAACCCTGCTGGCATGTTGCCTTTAAAAATGACTACTTCAAAGGGAGTTCATGTTTTGGTTTGGCTTTTTCCTCTTTTTATGCGACCAAAGGCAAGACCTTAGAAGGAAATATTTCCATTTATTCCATGGTCAAGTACTTAGGCTCCAAGACTTTGCTGTACCCCAGGGTGGATATTGTTTGTAGACAGCACTTAAATACCTTAGACAGTACTTTTATCCTAAAGAGACCAAGAAAGAATGTTTTTGTTTTTCTACTTTAAAAACATGTTTTGGAAGAAAAACGTTGAAGTGTGATGGATCCAGTAAATAGCCCAAAAACTAGCTCCTCTTGAAGAAGGCCAAGTGCATCTCAAGATATACACTGTTTGCAAGAAAACCCAAAAACTTTCTTACAGTATCTTACTGCTCCTTGCTGAAAACACTCTTGTTTTTCAGCATTGTTTCTATTTTGATTTGCACTGTCCTCTGTTCGTGCATTAACAGCAGAGCTAATAGCTCCACAGGAACAGAGCAATTATTATTTACATCAAAGCTATGTCCTGTCTCATGCTCTGTCTTCATCAGTATCCAGTAACAGATGCCCCGGAGAACAGTGCTATTTATTTTTTAGAGAGGTCATCTATGAAATAGCTTGGTTAATGGTAAAATCCCCATCTTGTTCTACTAGTAATCATTCACCTTTGCCTTGCAGCATTAGAATCCATCTGAAACATGTTATTGGAGAAATAAGCAACTGGAAAGACTTTCAACCTAACATCTGAGAACCCATTTTGGCCCAAATGCTACGCGACCCAGCTACTGTGGCTTGAATGATGCACAATACCCACAACTCCAAATGGTGCTATTAAACCCTATCAGTGCAAAACAGCTAGCGCGTGGGTGAAGCAAAAGCTCTAAGAGACCATGCTGCTTTCAGACACATGCCAGAGGTGATCGTGGTTTAGAGTTAATAACATTTTCTCTCCAAGGTTGGTTTACTAGCAGACTGCAAGGTAGCTCAGAGCACTTAGCACACTCTGACACTGTCAGATACAAGGTTTGTTGATTAATAATTACTCTGCAGGAGAAATAACAGCTCAATTTAGAACAAAAATAAATGGAAACATCACTTCTGTTACATAAACTTCCCTATTAGGTTCTACTGAAAAGGCACCCCTGTGCCGCAGCATCTTTGTTTACAGATCGGTTCACCTGAAGAGCAGCAATTGCAGGTTACTCTTCCCAACAGATCTAAAGGAAAAACAAGCCACTGAAGGACTTCAAAAACTCATGGCACCTGTAACAGGATCCCCTAGCACTGACAGCCTAAGAGGGACTAAGACATGGCTCAGTCCCAGAAGCTTCACCCTCAGTCTAGGTCCTACCATCTCCAGGCGTCGCATTTTTGTCATTATGTAACACCAGAAACAGACAGAAAACCATGGAGGGAAGACATTTGTATAAGAAAAGCTTCCTATTTAGGTATTTTATGGAGCATTATGAGAAGCTTCAAAATAGCTTAGCAACGCAGGAATTGCTTTGCATACAACTGATAACATCTCCCAGGTGAGCATAAAATGATACATTAACATAGAAAGGAGGAGAGGTAGGCATTGGATGAAATAGTGTCCTACGCAGGGAAGCAAATCAAAGACAGGAAATAATACAAATCCAACAGAGTTTTTGGCTTGTCTCGATAAGAAATTTAGCATTTACATTTTTTATTGCCATAGGGAGGTGGCACACAATGCTATCTCCAAAACAGCAGGAAGAGATGATATCATTCTGTTCCACTCTTTTTCTAGACTGTT